CACACACACACACACACACACACACACACACACAGTGGATGTACTCCAACTCTGTTTTCAGGCTTTTCAAAGGGATGATTCAGGCTTCTCCTGGTGGATTGTGTGCGGAGGTGAAAGCCAGCTGAACTGAACCGTGGGGACAAAGGCCTGATGGATTAGGGCTGCAGTGTTCACTTCTGAGCTCATGGAAAAAAAGAAAAGAAAAGAAAAACTAAAACAAAGTGAACACAAGCTGAGGGTTTGTGTGACTGCTGTGGCTGCAGTTAAATTCTGATCGACTCTAAACCCAGTCAGGCTGCGCCACAGTGTTTTGCCACCTCGCTGTGTTTGTGTACGGGATCGGATGAACGGGGATATGATGGAGATGTATGAACCCGGTAGCGTTACAGATGTGATCAGTGTGCTTATGGTCGTAATGTGGTTGGAAAGCCAGAGAGGCAGAGTTGCTTGTGTGTGTGTGTGAGAGAGAGAAAGAGGGAGTAACTATTAAGGGAAAACGAGCCTGATGGATGGTTTCATGGCTGCATCAAAGTGTCTCTCATACCTTTATATCACTTTCTCTAACAGTCCCAGTTGAGTCCTGGCCTCTTAGTTACATCCAGCGGTGGAGCTTGTATAACTTGAGCCTTTGTGCCCTGCAGACATCTGTATCTGTCTCTTGTGGCCCCTCCGCTCTGTCAGATGATACTTATCACCCTTTGTTATGTGAAAGTGAACACTCTGGATACAATAATGTTTGAAACTGTCTATGTTTAGGCTTGTTTGGTAATATAATATAAAGTATGCATTACCTTAAGCTTTGAATAGCAGTTATTGGAACATTAATTTTAGATATGCATTTCAATAATATATGCATGCGTTTTTTGCAGTGTATTAAACTAATTATTTATTACTTATAGCTAACTTTCAAATGTAATTTTAAACATTTATTTATTCACTTTTTTTTGGACCAAACCCCAATTTTTATTGTTTCATATTAGTTATATTAGGTATACTGCTTTTTTAGGGTTAGTGTTACACACAGACACACACACACACACACACACACACACACACACACACACACACACAGACAAAGACAAAGACAGACACACACACACACACACACACACAGCAGGGTGCTTTCTGTTTTACTATGAATCACAACCCAACTGAATGCACCACTCAACATTTGCTTCGATGATGTATGTGCAGTCAGTGTCCATATATAACTGTAGTAAATTTAAAACAGGCAGCAGCGGGGGGGCATGCAAGCAGCTCCAGATACTCTCTGAAATACATATCCTTATCCATTATTTATAAGCAGGATTTTCTTTCTAGCAAAGCCATTTTTTGGTCATTTGAATGCACAGAAATATTAGGAAGACTTGGTGTTTGTCAGTAGCGGCCTGTGGTCGTGCAACTCTCTACTCACCCAAAACAAGAAGCTGAAGAAGAAGAGAAAATATCTGATCCAGGGGTTGACGAAGGAGAACGTCTCAGCTCGGTTTAAAGTCAGTTTCCTGTCCATTTTAATGGTTTTCTAGGGTCCGGTGTGTAGATCTAGTTTTACTTCAAAACAGCCCACAGATTGCCGCCCCACCCCACAGATTCCCCACCACCACGTGGTTCTGTGTGGAGGGGGTCGTTTGCAGGTTGCAGGAGTGTGAGGCTGGCTTAATAAGGGGGGCATGGGGAGGTGACACTGCCCCACCATGCTGGTAGGGCCCAGAAGTGTCTATGTAAGCCTGTGTGTCAGATTACACAAAAAATATCTCTGGCTGACTGCAGCTGAATGGACTACGAGCTTTGGCATATTGTCAGCCTGCCGGTGGTCAGAAGACCTGTCGCTTTCTGTTACCTCAAACATCCTGGGTCCTCTATCATCGGCCTCACTGTATACTGCCCTCTTGTTCTAACGTCAGGATTTACTGCTTCTGAAAGGCTATTAGTTTAGTCCGATAATTGCATCTTCAAAGACAGATGCACAGAGAACAAAGCAGAATGACTGTTGACAGAGGCTGGACAGAGGAATCTTTGAAAGGAAGAACATCTAATGTAGTAACATGATGCCAGACAGCGTCTTCCGCACTGTCAGTTTGTGCAGGAGCTCAAACAAATCAAGGAGCAAATCTTGTCAAGCCACCTCTCCTGTAATGAGATTTAGATGTAAAACCCTCGGCGAAAATTGACTTGGAAATGGATCATCTGTCAGAGAGACCACGGGGTTTATCTGAGGATAGATGGGCAAGAAAAGAAAGGAAAATCACAGGAGCCTCAACTTAATGTAAATGTGTGAAGAAGCTTCAGATGTCAAACACCAGTTTGTGGAAATGTAGTCAAATGTAGTCTGAACTGTCCTTGGCAGCGTGAACACTGTATGTGAATACTTAATCACAGGCTTCTCCTTTTTGCTCATTACATCAAGTGTCTCCTGTGGAGTCACAGAAGGACACAAGTTCCCTCAGGTAGGTCGGTGCTTTGCCAGAGATACATGACGACTTAATGAGATTGATCCATCTTCTTTCATTTCATGTAAAACAAGTCAAGTTTTCTCTTGTTTCCGGGCAACATTCTGCTTTAGCTTTTGTTTTATTTAAAGGTGTACTATAGTTTAACTTGCATGTTTAAGGTTCTTGCCGAGAGCTATCGGTGAGAAAACTGATTCCACTCTCATCTATTTTCTATACCGCTTATTCTTCAAGAGCTGTGGGGGGAGTGAACAATCATTCACACACAGTACATTTTTAAACTCTAATTAACATAATGAGAATGTGTTTGTACTGTGGGAGGAAGGCGTACCTGCAGAAAAAACAGCCCAGACTTACAAACTCTGAAAGACACAGAAAGACCAGGATTCAAAACGAGCAAATTCTTGCTGTAAGGCGACAGAGGGAATCAGTTTGTTGACTTATCTAACTGTAAAAAAGTGCCAACATGGGAAACTGAAGTGTGGAAACATTATGGTTTTTATTGGACAAATATAATGTCATATATTCCCAGAACAATCATCGAATTTCCCCAAAAGGTCAAACTACTCCTTTGAAAATCCCACACTGTTTCCATTTAATCTGAATGAACATGAGCAGACTTTACTTCAATTGCAATTGTTAAAAAAACATAACAGGACATTTAAATCCTTTAAAAAAGAAGAAAATAGTATGTTACTCACGTTTTTTTCCACGTATGAAATCTTGTCAAAACTGAACAGCTGCTGTGCGGCTGCAATGGGTCTGGGAAACACAACAGATTGAGGAGAACAGAAACAATCTGCAAATCACCTCATCTGCAGGTTAACAAGCTGTTTAATGCTGTGTGGGGACAAAGGAAACAGTCTCAGCAAAATGAAAGCTTTCCCTAAACCACGAAATTAAAACGAGCTCGGCAGAAGCTGAGTGGGTAAAAAGGTGAAATACTGCGAAAACAATCAGGAAGAAGAATCATATTCACGGTTGATTCTGTTTACTTTATTTCAATACATGTCACTCATACAAAATAATCTATACAAAGGCTAAAATAGGTCATATTTTTGCATAGAAGGAACAGTGATGTAAAACAAAATAAAAGAAGCCAGGATGGAATGGCACAATAAACTCCAGTCACCGTCACATATAGGCCTGCTTACAATTAGGTTAAAAAGGGGGATAAAGCTGCGCACCCAAAATACTCTGCAGCTCACTGCGCGGTGTAAGAAGTGTCCATGGTTCCCACTTTCATCATCTTCCTTTTGTTCTTTAAAAAAAAACCTCTGTGTGTGCAACTGGCTGACTACCATTAGCTCATCTCAGCGTCTTCTGGACAACAGTCCCTCAGGTTTTGTTATTTAAAAAAAAAAAGAAAAAAAAAGAAGCTATTTTAAGGCTGCGATGCCACTCTCTTTTACTGAAAACACAGGATCTGCAGTGACACAGCTTCACTTTGCTCTCCAAGCCAAGCCCTGTCTCCTAATCCCCCCTCAAATAAAAAATCAGCATCAAACAGCGTTTAAATTCTGCCTATACAGTTGAAATGACATGAAAAAAAAGGAGCATCAGGAAGATGGAGTCATTAAACACGAAAGGCAATGAGCGTTCGTTGTCGTGGGACTTTTTGTGACACTCTTTCCTTTATTTGAAAAATACTTTGAATTAGAGTAAAGAGAGAAGGTGCACCACCTTAGTATAGATATTCAGAGTGCTTTCACATGTAGCAGAAAACTCCACAGGACAAGGTTGGCAGGTATCAGATAGTGCTACCCGGCAAACACAACATCAAACACACCATTTTTAGAGCGTACATGTTCCACTGCTCAGATATTCAGTTTCAGCACGGGGGGTTAGGATTAGGAGGAGATTACAGAAATAATATGTCGAAGGTGGTAAATAAAAAAAAATAAAAACTGTCTCTATATCTCTCAAAATTCTTCACAGCAGACAAAATCAAATTACTGCATGTGCATTCGTCCTTCTCCATCTCTGAGTGCGTCCATGGATGAGAGGGAATTCAAAAGAAAACAAGAGGAAACACGTGTCCTACTACAAGATGCAAATGTAGTCAAATAAACTATGAAAACCTTACAGACAAAAACACAAATGTACATCAAATTTACACTGCTCCTGCACTTGAAGAGGAAAACAAGAGGCAGAAATCTATCAAACATGAGAAGATGTATAACATACGTGAAGGTTATGTCTGTAGAGTATGTGTGTGTGTTAGGCATGTCAATGGCAATAAAACTGTGTGTAAATGTGATTAAAGTGGCAGAGTAAGTTGTAAAATGAGCATATTTACATCTGGAGCTGAACGTACAGCACTGATATGCTGTCGTAACGTTTGCTCTGTGCTGTGGTGTCCGCTTATAGTACATGCTCTCGAAATACATAATGGGCCTTACGCTGGCAGTTTTAAAAGACACACTGCGAACGATGGCAGCACGTCCGACTTTAGCACGTTGACAAGCGTGCAGCTCGTCTTTTGTGGGCTTCGTCGGGTGATGTATGCCAAATTTCTCCATCTCTATCAATTCTGACTTAATTGCTTCAACCGCTTGTAGCAATGTTAAGACAGAACAGTGTTTTTACACCTCGTAGAGGAACATCGCAGAGACTAATCCGCTCAGAAACAAACGCTTAATGGTGTCATATTCTCACAATGTGCAACAATGAGCCTCTGTCATGAGAAAGAGAAAAACAGCCAGTCAAACATCCTACAACAAGAAAAACAACAGCATATCATATAAAAAGAAACATTAAAACAGCGACAGCAAATGTACAAAAATAACAAAATGAAACAGCGTTAAAATGGCATTCATCCCTGCTTTCTTCTAAAAATAAACCACGTGGGAACATTTTCTCTGACATTAAAAGAATGTCAGAATGTCAGCACAGTCATATCAGTCGGGGGGCAAGGAGTTGCACAGTTTGCAGCCTGCGTCTCTGAAGTGTGACGTCAGGTTGGGAGACAGACATCGAATTCGCTTCAGGTCGTTTCGTGTGACATCTGCGTTTACACACTTTTCCACCCCACGCGAGATGAAACAACACAACAAATTATTTATCTGGTGTTTCCTTCTAAACTTGCCGCCTGCAGTGAGGATGTATTACCGTGTGATTCGCGGGAACTGTCACATCTATAACCTCTCTACTCCACGACGCGCTTTTTCGAGGTATCCAAAGAGCACAGCTGCATTTCCACAGTGTCAGTGCTGCCAGGGTACTGTAGCTACTGTATATGTGTCTGTGGAGCGGAGAAGTAAATCAGGGATGTGCAGTGGAGGCAGCCAAGCACGGGGGAGCTGTGGCCACTCGTGCCTGCTCTGTACATCAGCAGCTGTCATGTTCCCCCCATGGACACAACGAGAGGAGTCGAAGCATACGGCGGCAGGCAGTGAATCACAGCCAGCAGGGTCGCTGCACATCACGGCTCAAATGTGTTGCTCCTCGATGCATGAAGCCCCCCCCCCACACACTCCACAATGTCTCTCTGATGAACTCATTAAAAAAAACAATAAAATAAAAACCTAGCTAAGACTGACCTCAGGCGAAACTCGAAGGCAAACAGATTCATTTTCTTTCTGAGCCAAGTCGTTTGTTTACTCGTGAAGCAGCGAAGCACCGTGTCCGAGTTTCAAGGTTTCATCCTAAATTAACAACACACTCGCCTCAACGGTTTCCTTGGATAAAAAAACTTTAGAACGCGGCCACTCCTGGTCCCGATGGTTCCTCTGCTCAGCTTTCAATAACAGCAAATAAATGATCGTCTGTCCTTTGCTGTTAAAGGTCAAAGTTAATTACAACATGGCTATTTATTGCTTTTGCCAAGGAGGATACATTTACCCTGTCCGTTGATTTGTTTCTTTGATTACACAGAAACCACTGAACGGAAAAAACTACACGAAACTTGGTGGAGACTTGGGGCACCGGCCAAAAATGAACTCCTTAAAAATTGGTGCAGATCCAGATCGGAGCGTGTGCAGTTTATCGCAGCTTGATGGAATTTAAGAGGAGTGTTGGGACTTGAAGGAGGTTTGCACTTCTTGTTTCGGAATTTCTCCAAAGAGGTCTGACGGTGCAGGAACTTTAACAACCAGACTCTAGACATCGTAATTTGTCACAGACTGTTTTACCAAATGAAAAATGTCTTTAAGGGCTGTTTCGTCTGGTCAGAGAAACAAACGAATCGATCGGAAGGATAAATAAAATATTTAAGAAAAGGAATTTCCTCTTCCTGTGTCCAAAGTCTGAGCCTTTATATGTTATAGTTTGCTGTGTTTAGAGTCAATTTAAAGATTAAGGAATTAACCTAATGGAATCTCACTGTTTAATAAACCCCTGGCTGTTATATAGGGTGAAGTGAATGTGTCAGCAAGGGACGGATTTCAACATATGGCCACAAAAGAAATGGTAGCAAGTGTGAAGACAGAAGAGTTTACGCCTTCCTCCCTATTATCAGCTTACAGTTCGGGAAATGTCACGTGATTCGAGGCGACGCCGTGGGTCGGACGTCAACCTGACCAGAAGTGTAATCGTTCAAAGTAATTGGAAACACCTGCACGGGTCGTGAGGGCCCCACGAAAACATCATACTTCATTGACGGACGTGAAATATGTTTACCGCTGCCCGCACCTGCCACGGCATCTGTGCGGACCGAAAATGACATTGTTGCGTGGAGATAGGGAAGTCACGGCTGATGGAGCGCACAGCAGTCAGACAGAAAATGGCTAAAAGGAACGCCTTGTCGTAATGAATATTGATACGAGACAGACGTAGCTGTTCAGGCTGATTATCAGAATGGAACTAGAGCAGAACCACAAAAGGAAAACAAAGTGGAATTATTAGTGAAAACTTTGTTGAAAATGATCAGCGGCCTTTCTAGTTGGACTTCGACCTGTCGTGTTTGATGTAGCTGTGTGGACACACGTGGTTATTACCGACATACCGAGTGTTTGTTAACCCGACTGACTGCCTGACTCCCTGCTGGTTTTTTGTCCAAATGGACACCATCTTCTTCTTCCTCCTCTCAACTTTTACTTTGGAGAGTACAAAGTAATCATAACAGAGTGTTGACCAAACCTAAATTTATCCTTTAACAATGAGCTCATCCTCCACACAACCGTTTCTCACACACACACTCACACTCACACACACACACACACACACACACAGAACTTTTGAAGCCTGGAGCCGACGCGCCGTAGGGCATTTTCCTTCAAGTCGCCACACCGGAGTATTTTCAGTCTTAAGGAGGAAGGCTGTTGCACAGACCTCCTGCAGCGAATTGGCGGTAAACATACTTAAACAGAAGCGTCCTACAGGCCATGTTGCCATACCTATCTGTCTCGGCTTTGATGTGCCTACGCTCCCACCATCCCCTCCTCTGTTTGCAGCAAGAAAAGGAAGATTACAAAAAAAAAATAAGAGAAGTTGGAAACTGCGCCATGAGCAGGAATGTGAGCAGAGATATTGTGCACACGTTTGGAGCAACGACAACAATAAAAAAAAAAAAAGCTCATTGGTTTCTGACACGTGGGAAGTAAATTGGGATAGGAAGGGATGAAGGCAGGAGGGAGACAGAAACGAGGAGGGCAGTGTGAATGGATGAGATCTCAAGAATATATAGAAGAGAAAAGCTCGAGCCGCCTCCGCTGACACACAGTCGATGGCAGCAGCAAGACAACATGTCTGCTCTGTTTCTGCCCCTGGTACCCTCGACTCTCTAGATTTATATGTTCCGATTTTTTTTTCTTCCCTTCTGCAGCTTAGACAGTGTGATAAAACACACCCACAGAGCACACACAGACAATTCAGCCTGTGTTCTCAAAAGTGGGAACTTCATCACCCAGATGTCTTCACTTGACAGCCCTGGTGGAGCCCTAATAAACAGCCATTTTACATCATTTGTATTGTCTCTCAGGGAATGGGAACAATGCTGCTGTGTGTCCATAGCTGGATTTGTGTGTTTCATTTATCATTCAGAGGATATATTGCAGAATCGCCCATGAAATAAATCCTCACGCTTACACCACGTTCCTCCATCACGCTCTCTTTTTGCCCAAATCTCGACAGCTAAATGTAAAAAGTAAAAATTATGAATCATGGATTACATTAGACATCATCCTGACATATCTTCACCCCTCTGCAGCAACGTCACTTCAAATCACACACACACACACACACACACACACACACACACACACACACACACAGACACACACACAGACACACACACACACAGACACACACACACACACACTGCATGTCTGAGCGCTCATTGCACTGATCTGTTCCACACTTACATTCCACAGGAGCATCGATGACACACTTACAGGAAAACAAAAAGAAATCGTTTGACATTTCGACAACAAAGTTAAATCAGTGAAGTATAAAACTAGCATGCCATGTTGGAACTTTTTTTCATTTACAAATGAAAAGGGGAGAGGACTTGACTTCATTCAACAAGGAGGAAAATGAAGACTCCACAAGAGATGGAGGGTATCGACAGTTTCAAATGTTCTCTTTGCTTGGGGAAGAGAGGGGCATTAGTCAAGTCTTCATTGTCTCAAAGTCTTTTGTTCCTTCCAGCAAATTGTTAGTCCAAGCGAGAAAAAAAGAAAACACTCAAGAGCAGTGACAATGGGATTCTCTTCCTTGCCAAAAGTTGGTGTCCCTTCTCTTCCAGTTGTGTTACTCTTTGGCAAAATGAATGGTGAGAGGAGGGAGCAGGGACGCAGCTGGAATCTGTACAGAAGGGGGGGGGGCGAAGGATGCTCTAAAGAGGTTATTAAGTGAATGAGGGAAGCAGGGGGTTGTTTAAGTCAGAGTCTTATCCCATCAGGCAGTGGGGCTCCTCTCCATTGGGTGTCAACGCCCCGAAGGCTAAGCGTCGTACTTCTTCCCCGTTCTGTGGATGTGGTGGAACAGTGTCATGGAGAACGCCATGCCCAGCAGCTGTGGAGGGAAGGAGAGTGGGAGATAGTGAATGTGTGTTGACATGTGTAGTGTGTATGACGTATGTTTCTGTGTGTCATACATGTGTGCATGCGCGTTTCTTTGTGATCTTTTTGATGTCGACCCCTTGGGCTAGTTTGTGTTTTGATGGCGGAGCACAAACACATTTCCAGTCTGTCTTTTTTATTTATTTTTTCCTCAGATGGCCTTCAAACGCTAGCTGTGGAATCTTTGTGATGGAAAAATATGTACGGCGTGCACAAGCATTAAGTCAATGAAGCAAATGATAGATGGCATTGAATCAAAGTCGCCAGCTATCTCTTTGAAGTTTCCATTACCCCTGATACATCAAACACAGTCACAAGGCTGATCCTAAAACCATTATCTGGCAAAGTTTGGACGGCAGGGAAACGGCAAAGCACGATACAGTGCTTAGTCGGAAAAAAAAAAGGCAACGTGGACTTCCTGAAAGCCACGGAGGATTCCTGCTGTTTGTGCTTGGCCCCTTAAAGCTGCTCATTCTCTCCCTTTAGTTTCAGTCTCAACGTACTTCATACGAGCACCTCAGAGAAAATACCACGATAAGCTGCCATCAATCACAACATGAAATGGTAAACATTCGGCTAAAAGTAATAAAAAACTGATTTCAAAACCAGCCCAATTATTCACCTGTAGCTCGTCTGAAGTTCCGACTGTCTCCTTCACTCAGTGTGAAGTGTGACAGCTCCTCCTACAGGACTCCTCAGAGCCTGATCATCCGTCCCCCCGCCCAAGAATATATAAGAAAATACTGCTAGGATTTCAGAAGTTATACATATAGGCTTTTACTGATGTCTGTCATAAAAGCTGCGAGCGTAAATCATTCATAAGCCAGTTCATCCGTGCCGCTGGATATTATGTAACATTGCGGAGACGTGGGGCATCTGCTTTTCATGATGCTCCTCGCCACCCTGTCCCTCACCATGCCTTTGAGTCTGCTAATCTGACAGCTCAAGGTCTGCTTCTCCAGTCTGCTACCCCCTCACACCTGAAGCAGACGAGAGTGTGTGTGTGTGTGTGTGTGTGTCTCTGTGTGTGAGTGGGTATGTTGTGTACGTGTGTATTTGCATTGGAGATTAAGATGATTCTAATTAAAGCGGTGTGGCAGTGTTTAATTCTGCACAAAGTCTCCAAACATAAATAATAAACAGTGTTCTGCATGTGCATACTATGTGTGTGTATGCGTATGTGTACTTAAATCTTTACCAGGACCATTTTGAGTGAATACCTTACTCTATGAGGGCATTTTGGCCGGTCCTCACTGATTTTAGGGTTAAGATGTACTTTTAGGGTTAGGACTATGTTCAGAAGAGGCTTAGAATTATGTTTACATTTGGGTTAGCGTGAAATTTAGCATTAGGTGAGGGTTCTGATTAGATTAAGTTGAGAAATAATTTGAGGTAAGCGATAGAATTAGGTTTAGAATTAGCTTTACATTAGGGTTAGGTCTTGGTTAGGGTTAGAATTAGGAATACAAATAGGTTATGTGTATGGTCTCATACCTTTATCTGTGATGGTTACAGCTAAGGACCTGAGAAACGCATTATGCCAATGAGCGTCCTCACTGAAATAGAAGTACATGGGTGTGTGTGTGTGTGTGTGAGATCAGACAGATAGAATAAACGCATGTGAGCATGAAAGAGGAATGTGTGATCTTGTCATGAATACACATGAATCTAAAGTACACCGTACAATGATGACTTTCCTCGAGCATGGCTGTGAACGTTAAAGAGCACCATCTTCCCCTCAGGACATAGAAATGTTCAGGGCCACGTCGCTCTGAATGAACCATGGATTCACCGATTAGCAAACTGAGGTCATGCTTGTCGCTGAGGGGCCGGGGAGGGCAGGGAGCAAATAAAGCAAGGAGGGATGTCAAAAGCATGATAAGTAAAAAAGGAAGGAGTGGAGGTGAGACAGAAACATTATGAAGTGACTGAAATGTTCGAATTAAAGGTTTTGAAGGACAATGCAGGGGTGGAAGTTCCACTTGACAGCAGAAGTGTCTCTAAATTTGTATGCACTGCGAAGGATAGGAGCTGGAGGAGTGAGATTTGAACATTGGAAGGTGAAGTGTGGTGGCAAATGTTAAGATTAAATAGACTTTTGTGGAGAGGTGCAGCATGGACAGTTATTGTAAGAGAGGCTAACTCAAGGATGGAGCAAAACTCTCAAAGGTTTGTTTAGACCGAACATGAAGTGGAATTTTGACCAAAGCGGGAGTCGAGCAGGTGAAAAGATTTGCTGAAGGCAACGCAGAGCAAAGCAAAGACAGTTGTTCATCCATGCATCTGTACATCTATATACGCCTCTTGCCTAACAGAAGGGTTTTTGGGGCAGGCTGCCACTCCAGGGGTGGCACATTCTGTACAAACTAAAATAAAAATCTCACATAGAGCGTCCCAAGCTGGCTATTACAAAAATCTGGATCGCCGACCCTTTCCGTCAATTGCGGCCCACCCACCACGGTTACCACATAATAACAATGTCTGCACAAGCTAAACTTCAGTCAGAATCTCAGTTGTCACAGAATGTACACATATACACACACAGTAGGTGCCCATGTTGGCTGCCATCTTCTATTGATTTCGTTCACAGTCTGTGTCGAGCAAATAAACTCAGACTGCAAAAACAGTCTGGGTGTATAAAAAAAGGTGTAAACCTAAGGAAAATAATAAAATAAAATAAAAACACTTTGTTGGCTCTGAAGACTGAGGAAGACAAAGTACTGTAAATAAAGCGAAAGCGAGACACTTAACTGTATGCAGAGGGATGGTACCAGAGGAATATCTCTCACCCGTCTCAACAGAGCCTCTAATCTGTGACTCCAAACCACCTTTATATTCACTATCTCTGCTCTCGATCTGCTAATGGCTCCTTAAACATGACTGCAGCCTGCTTGGAACAAAGCCAGGTGGCTTTGATTCTCCCAGACAGGATCAGGGTTCAGAAGACAGTGACTTAAATATTTCAAGATGTGTGGGCTCCCTGACAGCCCACTGGCACAGGCCTCATAAGTTTCTCAGCAGACGACGGTGGCACAGAGGCCACTTGATGCACGTTTTTTTTAATCTTTTTTATTTTTCTGCCAGACAATCACAAATGCAGCCAGAAGAAAAAAATGAAGGGGAATACAAATGGGAGAGAGGCTCAGAGAAATGGAAAAAGAAAGAACAATTTATCACTGCGCCTCTTACCTGCACTACCAAGATGACCATGCCTATAGTTCCCAGCAGGTGCTTGTTTTCATCCAGCCATTCCTCCACTTTCTCAAAGCAGCCCTGAAATGAAAGAAAGAAAAAAATAAATCTTGTGATGCTGCTGCTGCTAAAAAGAAAAGTGCATTTTCAGAGCGGTATAGAAGAATCATGCCACTTCAGTTGCAGCTGCTCCGAGCCTGGTTGGTCACCTAGAAAAACTCAACCATCCACTTCACGCTTTCCCAGGACACATGAGATTTACGCTCGGATGAATAAAGACCAGGTGAGGTATTAAACCAAGTGAATTACCCATAAGTGAGGACTTTTATATGCAGACTTATGGGCCATATGGACGTGTGTGCACTCTATCTTAAATGTATTCCCACCTACAGCGGGTTCATTCGGAGGTCACTCGATGGCAGGACACGGAGGTGATGGACTTAATGGTGGTTTCAGCTGCGGAGTGGCGCCTCGTCTTTGGTGCGGGTGCTCGTACTGTACGTCTTAACTCTGCTGTACAGTGTGTGGCCGTCTCCTCTGGGCAGGATTACACACACACACGCTTTTAGTGCTGTGTCTCTCCCTGTGGGCCAGCTCAATGTCTGCCTATTCTCACTTTGGCAATTATATTACAGCTTTTAATTCTCTACTTTGGACCTGCTAACAAAGCACACGCCAGACCAACAGCAGATTAGACTTGTAATTGGGGGGGGATCTGTGAATATTGTACTGCTGGGTTTTAGAAAAAGAACTGTTGTTTCATGCATAATGGAAAAATCCAGTGTGATCAGAATTCGGCAGGAAGAGGAAAACTTTAAAGCTACTCTCACCACTCACAGAGGCTTGTAAAGGCTGCTACCCAACAGATGGACCCACAATTAAAGATGTGTAAGAGTTCTAATTTTTGATTTCCCCTGTGATTCCTGTACTAATGTCAGACGTGTTGGCGTAGAGAACATTAAAATCAAGTACACTCAAATACAACTTTAAACATGACATGAAACAAGAGGAGCATATGGATTTGGATAATGATCCCAATAGCGTCATGGACGCATAATGTGACCCTGGGCACATAGAGGGAGAAAACCACACGTGGAAGTAAGACATAAAATGTCTACAAGTGACGCAGCCTGGTCGTTTGTGGTCGTTTAATTTCTCTTTGTAGAGATGTTTTTTTTAAGCTAGTCATTTAGTGGCTGCAGTTGTCCTGCGTCTTCACCCCCGTGATCATTCTGCATCTCTCTGCGTTGGTTTTGGAGTTTCTTTACAGTCGCCGTGCATCTGTCGTCGTTCTGTCTCTCTTTGTTGTACATTTTGTCTCTTTGTAGTCATTTAATTAACTCTCCAAAAACAGAAACACTTCAAACGGAAGCTTTTTGTCCGTAAAGGCCCATTCACTAACCCGGGTTATATCATACGAAGCACGCAATGCAAAAAAACCCACACTTTAATTCACCTTACAGTCAATGTGCACTCACCCTGTTCCAGAACATGTTGGTGGAGTTGTGTCCACAGTTCTGGTAATGCTCCTGACAGCAGCGGTCAGGAACTACTTTCTCCTTCAGGGCTTCGTGCCAGTCGGTGTACGCTATCACACCGCAGCACTTCCACTGTACGTGCGGAAACAGAAACAAGTTTAGTTAGCGCTTTAAAGTAACAATTATTATAATCAGTCATTTGCTGTATAGGGCTCCAGTGATGGAAGAAAAAGTTCTGAAACCACTAGTTTTGACTTTTAATGTTGCATTAATGCCACAGGTAAGAGCCAGGAAACACATTAGCAGGAATATTTCAGTAAAACTTTGCATTTATGCATGAACTCTGGAGTTTTAATATGACAATCATGCTAATGTGTCTCATATTTCTAATATTTGGTGTAATGCACAGTTTGAGGTACCTCTGCCTGGATGATGTTCCACGCGTTCCGCAGGCCTATGTTGTTTTCTGAGTTGTAGAGGGCCAGGCCGTCCTTCAGGTCCTGCTTAGCATTCTCACTCACCTGACAATGAGAAAGACAACAGCAGCCTTGGTTAGAGACCTTGGGTTAGAGGGGGACTTACAGACTTTATATCAGCGATGGCAGCTGAAGCTTACAGGCTCATTAACGCAACTTTGATCTTCCCAAACCGCTGATGTCTCTTCACACAGATGTATATGATAATGACTGTGTCGCTGGCACAAGGGGGAAAGTGCTCTTTAGTATTTTTAGAGGGTTGTATGTGATTGATTCCTGTTTCTGAGCACTGCCTCACTCCGGGGGGAAAGATAGGAGAGTGCAACAGCTGTAGACGACCAGCGGATACGCAAACGCCGCTGGAGAACGACGGCAGCTACGCAAGGTTACGAGGTAACCTTTTTCACTTGTCATCTAAAAATACATTACCTCTGCTACACTTGCATGATGACTGCAGATCTGACTCGTGTCATGTTGCCTTGACATACACACACAAACACACACATACACACAGAGCTTCAACATGGCCTTCAGCAGAGCTAACAAATCACTTTCCTCCTGACTGAACCCCAACAATGTGCTCAGCTCTGTGCGCCCGTCTGATGGAGATTAATATCTCTCTGGATGTGTTGAGATACAAAATCAGGAGCTTCAGTTCCCCTGCCGTCGCCTGCGGGGATTTGCAAACTGCCAGTGCAGATTGAAGGACGCTTTAGATGCAGGCTAATTATTGCTGGGAAGATGACACGTACCGCCAGGACCATGTCTGCACAGCATCACAGCCAATATCACACACAACAAATAGAGCACAAACGTGTTTATAGTTTGAGCATAAAGGCTCAGACTGTGCCCTGGAATTTAAAGAAAAAAATGTGCACACACAAAATAAGAGAAGCAGCATCACGTCTGTCACCGCCAGACACAACAAGGTGCTTCAGCTCCTCTCTGCCCTCTTCTCTCAGGGGGGACGGGTCCACAACAATGATTTTTAGAAGCTGCACAGTGAATCCTTCCGTTTAAAACAACAGAGAAAGCCTGGTCAATGACGTCCGACTTTTACTTTTACTAAGTAAATTGAACATTCACTGTACATTTACTCATTAAAGTGTTTCAGGTTTACTTGAGTAATTACTTGTGTACACTGCAGTGTATATGAGAGACAGACCTTCCTTTGACAGCACAGAAAACTAAATTAAGCTTTAAATTAAATGCTTCAGCAATTTGTTTGTGGGGGTAAATAAAAGCGTTTTCGGCACAGGAAAACTATTTGCAGAATTACATATAAAAGTCTAACTGATTTTTTTTTTACTGAGTAATTAATGTTTCCTCTGAAATAAAGTGCTTTATTAATCATGCAGCGCCGATTTGAAACGTCTTCTCAAACCTTTGAAAATAAGATTAGTGTAGTTTCTTCTTCTCTCCTGCTATGTAACTTTGCTGATGCAGAGGAGCGTCTCTGTGCGTTGTTGCACCGCGGGCTCCGCCATATCTGTCCTTGTGTAGGGAAATGAGATGAAGAGCAGCATCATCAATCTCTGCCTCGTACTTTGTTTTTTATCCTCGATCTCCCTCCTCTCCATCTTTATGTGGAGCTGCTCGCTCATTACTGACTCCTCGTGCTGGAGGAGTCAGTAATGACTCCAACACAGTCACTAGAGAGCAGCCCCCCCCCCACACACAACCACCACCACCACCACGACTACAATAAAAATCATCCTCTGACCCGCCAATAAGTCTCCGCACGTCGTCCATTTCATGTGTGGAAGTCTTCGTAACAGCCTGAAATGAAACTTAATGATCCAGATTTACTGCTAACGAGAGGCAGACAAATGACTTCAGAACAAACAGGGATGTGATCTTGCAACACTCTGACCCATTTTCTGTGCCTGTGAAGAAGGAGCAGATACAAACACATCTTTTGTTGCATTAGCCTATTTCTTACAGATATGGAAACTCACAATTCTGCTCCTGGAAATTGTTTACTGACACCATGCTATGGTAACACCTAGTTTCTGACAACAGTAGGAATAGAAGATGTTTCTGGAACACTTTTTATCTTGTTTGTTTGTTATTCGCCTCCATGGCCATCAATAAATAAAAAGCCGGTCTCTACGTCCCTGTAATAAACACAACCAATCATTTTGCTGAGATCGAATGAAATGATCTGCTGGCATACCTGTCGGACACTAATCGACGTGCCTGCCTGCGTGCAAACTGCCTGTGAAAAAACACAGCTGAAGCAGAGACGATAAACAGTTAGCGAGCCAGTCACTGAAAGTCAGCTTCTAACAATTATTACGCCTGGGCCTCCCTAGATGCATGTCCAACTACTGTGCTTCCTGAAATACCAGTCAGACTATGAACTTAACCAAATGAAAGGAAAAGAAATAAATGGATTCAGTCAACAGAAATGCTAGAGTCCTTTTACTTTGAAACGGATACAGGCTTTTGTGGCATATTTGACAGATATAGACATTAAAACTGTGATGAAAGACCATTTTCATTGTCAATTTGCTGTGAACTGGATGCGTACAGAAGTGTTGCTGCTCTAACCTGATAACATGGGTGCCGAAATGAAAAGCAAGAAGTTCCGCAGCCAACATATCAAGTGTGACACTGTGCGTTCATGTGTTTTGACCGAGGGCCTATGTGAAGTTTCTGGAGGAATCGTTTTCATTTTGTCAAAGTTTGGCCCTCTCTAGCGAGCTTTTCCAAGATTACCAACCCAAGCTTTAAGTTCTCTTCTGTCGCCACTGGGCTTCAAATGCAATACTTCACGTTGACAAAAGCCCTGAGGCACAGCTCATGCTTGCCATTACATAAATAAGACGGGAGTTTCCTCTGGGCCCACCAAGTCCGCACTCAGCAATACGGGACAGCACATTCATCACAGAAACATCTAAAAAGGGTTTGAGCTCTGCCAGCTGGAAGAACGCAGAGACAGTCACAGAGAAAGAAGGAAAATGGAGAAGCGCAGATAGTGTTGACAGGGAGGACGGAGGAGTCGCCTTTCTCTCCAAACTAAAGTGTTTGTATCCTCAGTGAGCACGACAGCAGAAAACAGAGAGTGCACGGTGGATTGTCTGATTAACACCTGTCACACTCGAGATCACCGTAATACAACACATCCAGTCAGCACTGAAATTACCAACTGATAAGGTATCACAGCTATTTTCACTCATTTTATTCTTGTACAGGACTTTTTTTCAACTTTACCAAAGTTTCCAGAGGATGTTTCTGTGCCAGCAGAGGAAATAAACTGGGGAATATTTCTGTATTCTCTGTGCTGGGTTTAGAGTGATGTGATACTAATAATAATAATTTCAGTGCAAGCACTCCTGACGTACACTGTCAGAATCAGGCCCCAGATCTGGTGATCAGCTACACTGGGACCTGTCACAGTGCAGACATGAAACCACTCTGCTTACTCATCCCACGGGTACATAACCACAGCTGAGCCTCACTTGAGAAATATGAACGATCTTTTTTTAAGTCTGTGTTTTCATGTGCAATTTATAGCACAAATTCTGATTTCTTCTTCAGGCAGCAAAGGTCACATCTGCGCCACATAAATGACACATTCTCCCAGAGGAGCTTGTGCCCTGCTGTCGTTTCCCTTACATTTTTTCCGCAGTGGTTTTAGGACAACTGCCGTCTCAGTCGGCTGTTTTATGAAGAGAGATGCTAACCTAACACGAGAAAGCATTGCTTATTTACAGTAGGTGGTCTGACGGGCGTATAGATGAGCAATTAGTGTATTGCGTGTTGAGTTTTATTCACTTAAACCCAACTGCTATTTATCATTTGGAGCAATTACAATCTTCAAACAATGTTAGCGTTTAATTCCAAATGAATCACGGTCTCTGTAGTCCAATTTCATTAAGAGAAAAAAACACAGATTATGCAGGTGGTTCAGCAAAAGCAAGTAAACGCAACCCATCTGTTATAGAAGACAAATGGTACATACAGTGTTAAAGATAACTGAATACAGATCTGAGCTTTTAGCTTTCTGCCACATCTGTGAACATTAAGTGGAGCCTGTTATACACAACTGGAAAGACAACGAAGGCTTTTCATAAAAAAACTTTTACAAAACGTCCCAACTTAAATCTGTTGTTAGTTTTTTCAACTGGTCACTTGGGATCTTTGTATTTAAAAATCGACGACCCAAAGAGTCTTGAACACCACCTGGAGGCTGGCTGTAGCATAGGTCATGAATCCCGCCTCTTCCATGTAAGTGGATTGGACATGAACCACATTAAAAAAACACGTCATATAAAATGTTCTCAAATATGTTTTTTCTCATTTCAGGTAGATCTTACCACACTGATGAACGTTCAAGTGCTCATTTTAGCTTTTATTAGTTATTTAATGCTATAAAAATGGGGTGATTGACAGCTGAGACTGAGTCACGCTTAGCAGAGCTAATGTACTAGTATGCTACTGCTAGCTTTACTAGTATACTACCGAAAAGCCCGCAATCACTGCTGCAAAGACTCAAAATGGCAGCGTTCATATCCAAGATATTTCTGCTTCATTTCTGGTTAATGGAAGGAAATGGAGACGCGTCTTCCATCTTTATCTACATCATGTTTGGGTTTGATGGACATAAGCTTTGAACATCACCTCTTAAAAGGGGACATATTGTGCTTTTGGTGATTTATTCTCCTTTATATGCATTTAGATCTATTGAATGCTCCATTTCATGCTTTGCCACAGTTCCACAGCTCGTGTTAAAATATTAAAATGCTCACTGTACGACAAAAGCTGATCTGAGGATTTTGTTCCTAGGGGATTTAATTCTTACTTTCCCGACACTGGGTCCACATGGACCAGGTCAGATCCAGATCCAGAGGAAACCCAGGGTGGAGGCCACAGGCCCAACAACAGCAGCGTCTGCAGGGGTCTGTGGAAGGTCTGTTTCTACTGTAGCAGCATGAATCCAGTGTATATCATTTGCATTTTGTGGAACTTAAACAGCAGCATAGTTACAATTTTTTCACTGAGCCTCTGAACGGATGTGGAAAACTGAAAACAAGACATGGAGTTGAGCGGGTTTTTTTTCCTGTTCAGGGACATAAAAAAAATCTGTCTATGATGTTTTAAACAGCTGTACAATCCAGTCTAAAACATTATTTAATTCACTGTTTCTTTCAATGAAATAAAGCAAGTTGTCTTTTCAGTGTTGTCAGATCACAGAGGCTTATCTCCTCTCAGCTGGGAGCGTGTTCCCTCATAACAAAACAGCTGCACAGGCTTCAAAGAAAATCTCTGGTCAACACTGAATCTTCCATTTTTTAACATGTAATGTTAAATTTGCTCTATTACAGCTCTTTCAGAAGTGCTTCGTGTCCTCATCTGCTCTGACACAATAATCATTTGGTCGTACGCTGTCAGGGCTTTAATCATCTACTCATCTAATCCTTTGTGTCTCATGGCCCAGAGAACAGAAACTGACACTGTTCTGCTGTCGCCCTCGTTGCACAGCTCTGGACAACTGTGTTTGCTAGCTGCCCTGAAAGAGTAATAAATGATGTGGAGAGGAACAGCATCAGAGCTAGAGGTCCCCAAAAGCACATCATTAAACAAGATACTTAATTCCCCGCGTTGCTCTGCACCAGCCTGAGCTGGGTAGCCTGAGGCCAGGGCATTTCAACAGAGCGATGGAGAGACCCCCCACCACTGCGCTGTAATTGGTCTTGGGAGATAAAGCCTGACCGGGGATTTAACATGAAACAACTACACATACAACACAGACGTGACTTAGCTTTACATTCTCACTTTTCTACCTGACTACTACGGGAGCATTTCTGGAACCTTCAGGCGAGATGACTGCTGCGTTTTTGTTTACAGCATATTGATACCGGTGGAGATCTTCCTTGAATCTCAATCACATCTTCGTCTTTTAGAATTTGGCATCTCTCTATCTGTAAAGTGGGCAGGAAAAGTTGGAGAAAATGTAACTCACTCTGACATTTATGAACATATCCGGACTTCCATGCATGTCTGAAAGCAGCTAACGCATCTTCACGTCATCTCCTGCTCACACCTAACAGTGACACTGATAACTTTCGCCAGCTTTTGCTTCTCTAATTACACTATTTTTATCTTCTCCTCCCTCTTTTAACACCTTCACTCACTAACACCCAGATGTTGATATCTCACCTGCCTTTTTCTCTCACCTGTATCCACCTGCCTTCCCTAACATACCCCCACACCCGCATTCTCCCTTCCTTCCTGTGCACATTACTCTGGCCCACTCTTCCCCTCCAGGTTTTTTATTTCGGGCTAATAAACTTTCCTAGGCGCTCTGCTCGGCATGCCGGGGTCGTCGGAGGCACAATGAGGTCACAGCGTTAAAGACGAATGGCTGTAATCTGGTTTGTGCGGCAGCCATCTGCTGCAGTCAGCTGGTTGCTAACTGCGAGGGCCAGCTTTTGTTATACCACAGCCTCTACCTGGCATTTAATCAGCGCGCTTAACGCCACCGGGCTGCGGAGGCAAAGAGGGAATGCCTACGTATCAGTGCTGGACCAGAGAGAAATCTTCCGGTTAGAAGAAGGAGCTGCTCCTCTTCAACAGGAATAAATGGTGGGAAATGCAGAAATAAGAGGAGGGAGACAGGGTGACTACGCAGAAGCTGTGGAAAAATGTATTCCTGCGAGAATAAAATATGCCTATATAATGGTCCATCACAGTTGGCAGAGGCGTCACTCATGACTTAAAGATGATCTATTTGAGAGACTAAAGTATCTGTTTTGCAGGCCTCTGTTGATACACATTTAAAAGCCGCCAACTACTGTACGTCTTCCAGACTTGTTAATAAATGCCTTGTGATTAGGAGATCAAATAGGAGACGGGAATTAGCGATTCCTCTGATCACTGGCTGTAACAGAGGATGAGCTGAGCCTCACACAGCATACAAGATCTCACTGGAGAGACGCAAGAAGAGAGGGGGAGGAAAAGAAAACAGAAAGCAATATCCGAAAGGCCTCGTGTGATGGACACCGACTGTCCTTCATCTAATCCTGATGTTTTTTAACATTTAATGCTGTCTGAGTAACAGCACCGCACAATCTCCTCAGTCTGAAAATGCCATCTCTAATTACTTATAATTTGCTGCGATTGCTGTTCTTTCCAATGACCTTTGAGGACCAATAAAGGGAAATATATTCGGTTGTGATCTGCATTATCGTGGCTCCATATCCCATTATGTCTGAGCCAGGATAAACACAATGTGATTTAGTGAGATGAGGCAAACATAAAATATTGTTACCATCCATGAGAACTGGAAGGAATAAGTGAGTCCGCCTACCAAACTAATTTAAAGTAATTTGAAATCTCACAGTCCTACTTCAACTAAGAAATCTCTCCCCTACTTCACAGGTGATGGGAAGGCATTGCTGCACATTCATGATACCTGCTTTTTAAATTCCACTGGAGGGAGCAGCAATAGGGATTTTTTTCTTTTTTTTTTCTTCAAAGTTAAGCCAGTAATATTTGGGAGATAAGGCAACAGACATATTTACTCCTGGCAGGGTGTGCCTGCGAGACCTCATCCAAATCTCAGAGTGGATCGGCTGCTAAATGAATTCCTTTATCTGACTAAGTTACTGAGCAATAACCTCAGGACCACGAGGGAGAATTAGCCGCCGTCCCAAAGGCCGGGGCGACATGGCGACTCTGGATGTATAAATAGACTGATCTATCAGCGATGTGTCCTTGAAAACAGATAGAAGACTTCATTACTTGTCCCAGCCAAGCCATTTGTCATCTTCAGGTTGAAACATTTGCGGGAGGGACTGGATTGAGTACAGAGAAGAACTTGCCAGTCAGTAATCCCCAAATCTCCATATACCGTCATCTGTTGCAGCCACAGACGTGCACCTGACTCCAGCACGCTCAGAGGTCATGGGAAAAGTGCTTGGGACCAATTACAGGAAGCCAACTGGTGGAGATTGGGCTGCTTTTGGGGCCTAACCTTTGACTCCAGGGTGAAGGGTAGAATTCAAAATCAACCTCCCGCCGGAGAAGTAGCCAGATATAAAAAGACTGAACTCTGACCCTCCTGGAACATATGTTTATCAAGCTAACACCTTTTATTGCTTTGTGCAGTTGTGCGAACGCGTGTGTGACAAGCTTTAACTTTCTGGCTGAGGGCAATTATTGCCTCTCACTCTTGACATTGTGTGCACACACTCTGGGTGAGCTGCACGGGGAAAAGGTAACGGGAACGACACGAGTCGAGAGATGTCGACATTCAGACATGACGTGGAAAGAACGAAATGAACTTACCTTATCTGAGTACACAAAGAACAGGATGAGCAATATCAGCTCTGCCAGGAGAATTATCAGCAGGACAATGAAGAACTGTCAGAGAGAAAGAGAGAGAGGGGTTTGTTTTAACGGTGGCTCTGGCAGTGCAGTAAATCCAGCATGTCAGACCGAATTAAAACATGTTGAATATAAATCTGAGCGACTAGGTCTCTGTTGTAGTTTGTGTCCCTCGGTGTTACAGGGTGTCAGCAACAAACATTACATGAGTGTAGATTACTCGCACGTCACATTCTGGGAAATGCAGTTATTTGCCCTCTTGTTGAGAGTTAAACCTTTAAATTCTCGACAGGTACATTTTAAAGTTCCAGAGACATGCTAGCGGTTTCACCCTGTTTCTAGACTCCATGCTAAGCTAGGCTAACCAGCTGCTGGCTATAGCTTCACATTTGCTATGTAGATCATAGACTGTATGTAAAGATGTCTACACTTATTCCAACTATCCAGGAATGAAGCCAAAATATTTATAAGCCAGAGTCGCAGCAGGAGTGCCTCTGATGTGGAGCCACGGTATCAAGGTCCCGTTTGATACACAGAACCATACATTGGTGTGTTAAGAACTCACTTAGAATGAGAGAAACCATCTTTGCATGCAAAAAAAAAAAAAGAGGTGTTCTTTGACTTTTTTAGATGAGGAGGCAGAGCAGGGTTTATGACCTATAGAGCACCCAGGGCCACCAGGGGGCTATTAAGAAGGTTTGGCTTCAGTTTTGAAGAGCTGTCATGTCGTCCATCTTAATATAAAGTCTAGAGCTGTATCCGAAATCACTCACTTATCCACTAACCCCTACTTGGTTTTCTACTTAGAGAACTACATAGTGAGCTCATCGACAAGAAAAATTGCTTTTGGACACTACTACAAATTTCTCGATGCTGGTAATTATGTCAGTGTTGCAGGATAATGAGGTAGTACGACAACTACAACAGGTGGATGTTTATTATACATTAAAAATCAATGCATTTAGGTAAAAAACATGCTTGGTAAGTGACCATTGGTCGTACACTACTTTTCAGGATGCATTGTGGGAAAAAACTATATAGGGTATAAAACTTTTCACTTAACATTCGGACAGCACTGCAAAATGGTGAACTCACTATGAAGTGGACTATACAGTGATTAGTGAGTGACTTCAGACACAGTGTTGGACAGAGGCCACCTGCCTTTAGTCTTTATGCTAAGCTAAGCTAATCAAATGCCAACTGCAGCTTCCTATTTACTGTAAATGAGGGTCTGTTCAGTAAACATTGATCTCAAATATCGATTTCACTCAGCAGCAAGAAAAAAAGCAAGTGTACTTCCTAAAATGTTGAGTTATTCCCTCAGGGTTTGAAAGTTTGGCAGCAGAAAACACATCGAGCCTGATTTCCCAATAATAAAATTCAGTAACAGACACTTTTTTTTTCAGGAAAGAAAGAAGAGAGAAAGAGAGAGAGATGAAATAGGAGATGGATGTGACAGAGGGAGTAAAAAAAGAAGTGCTGGAGTGTTTGTGAATGTGTGAGAAGGGGGGGAAGAGGGTTTAATACTCCCTCAGATTAATTTCCAACACAGCCTTGCATCTCATCAGCTATTCTCCTCTCCCTGCTTGACTCCCCCCTTCAGCTCAATATTTACCCAGCTCTTCTGCACAGCATGGGGGGAGGCGCGCGAACCTAGATTTTAGAGAAACCCCATTAATACCGAAGTCATTTGGCAGGGAGGGGGTCTGCGTTTTCTTAGTGTGTCAAGGCCCAAATGAAATAGTTACAACAGTTTGTTGTTGGGTGAGTAACTGGGTTGCCAGTTTAGTGTATCACTGTTGTGCCTTCACAGCCAGTTTGTCACATTTTCCTGGTGCTGAAGACAACGTCTGTTCTCTCAATTGGTGGCGCTTCAGTTGTTCCACATGCGCATCCATGTTCACACGGATACACAGCTTTGTAGGCGTATGTTCTCTTCACATCTTTAAGGTTTCTTTTTCAGTTGGAATGGGTTTTTTTTTCTCTCTGAACATTAAAAAAAAAAAAAAAAGAAAAGGAAATTGTCTCTGTAAACAAGTTTTGGCAGAAGAAAGAGATGGAAAACTTGCTGCTGAGGACGTCTATGGGTGTTGAATACTACTAATCCAGAGAGAGTTGTCCAAAGAGTAACTTCAGAGATAACGTGTCAAGGTAAACGCTCAGATCTGCTCGCTCCGGGAGATCGAAACCCACTCTGATCTTTCCAGGTCCTGCCCCCCCCCACCCCTAACTGACACTCACGGGAGTGTTCAGACAGACACCTCCACCCTTATCAGAATGACTGTGTCCAAACATTAAATGCAGCCACACAAGAGACTTAATGAGAAACATCACAACTTCTAGATTTTCCATTAAGTCTCTCTATCTTCCTCACCCCTCCCTCCCTCCCTCCCTCCCTGCACTCTCTTCCTCTCTCTGCTTCACAGTAGTTAGGCAGGTGAAAGAAGTCGAGCCGAACACTGAGTATTTGGTGGAGCTTTTGACTGATGCAAGAGCTTCAAGGGATTGAGCTGTTTGTGATGTTAAGTACCCAAAGCCCCAACTCCGCTTCTTATTTAAAGTTTCTGTACATGAAAGATGGTTTTTCTCCCTCTTCGTTTTTCTGCAGCGGATTCACGCGAAACCTCATTTCACTGTGTGAACTGCTGTAATTAACTTGTGCTTGAGATAAGACACTTGTGCAACTGTGGGCAAACAGTGCAATGTCAAGACAGAGAGGTCTTTGTAGTGAATTATGGAACAGTCTCAATTATTGAGCAGGGAAACAAGCGGTGTCTTTAGTGTGCTGTGTACATACAGTAATTCAACCATGGTGACACAAAGGGGCTCCTGACTGTCAGCTCCATCACTGGGCTGTGACCGAAGCCACGGAAATGACATGAACGCCTTAGAGTTGGGAATAGCCCACCACTCAGCTTGAATTTTCCTCTGCATGCCCATGAGGTTTGAAATAATGCAGACTGAAATCCTTCTGTCAGTCGTCTACCTCCACCGTTGTTCCGGCGGGAAAGCGAATACAAATACACTGCTGTGTTTTCACTGGCCTGTGACCAGTGTGTGTAGGTGTATAGATGTCTCCACCAGACAGCTCCGTCAATATTTGCATGAGTGAAGTCTGGGCATGTGAGAAAAAGAAATATCCAAAAGAGGAGAGAAAGTTTGAGAGAGGAGTAGCAGTGTGTGCACTGACGCATTGACAGTTGTCTCTGTGTGTCTTATTTAGAATGCGTAGGTATGCAGATTTAACTCACGCTCAGAAGCAGGCACTTGTTCTCCTTGATGGCACCCAGGCAACCGAGGAAACCCGTTACCATGACAATGGCGCCGATGGCGATGACCATGTTGGCGGCCGACAGCGAGGGGAAGGAGGGTGAGAAGGTGGCGAAGCTGCCCTGAGACACAGAGAGCCAGATGCCCACGCCGAGCAGCCCGCAGCCGCATAACTGCAAGGTAAAGAAAAAAACAGACAGGGAACAAGGTGAGAAAACAAACAGCAGACAAGTTGCCATCTTTTAAACATCAGCTTCAAAGATTATTGACAGTCATGATCATTTTCTGCTTTCCTCCTGCAGGTTTGGCTCGTAGTGACAGACCTCCTGAACAATGCATTAATCCACAGAGTAAAGTTAGCCTGAAAATAACTCAAATCCCAAAGTGCAACAGGCTCAATTTCCTTCTGGCTGCCTGAGGAATTATCCACGCAATCATCCATCACCAAACACGTCTGAAAAATACAAGCGGGTTTACACCAATTACAACTACGATAAGCCAATAACAGCTCTGCCAGAGATTAGAGCAAAAAATTGGAGTTGGGCCGCTGTGTTTTTTTTTTTTTCACATTTTGAGCTGATTACGTTAAACCCAGAACAAACAGATGTAATTACTGCGGTCTCCTCAAATGAAAAGTTTCCACAACCACCTGCAGTTGACTTGATCTTGGCCTAGAGGGAGCAATTCCCTCATTCCTCCCTGTCACCGCGCCAGGTCCCCACTGATGTGTGTGCGTTCTGCAGCGGGACTCACTATAATGCAATAAAGTGTTTACGGCTGTGATTGGTGGAGGACAGTGTCCCGCTCGCTGATGTGTTGGTCCATCTATCAGAGATAAGAGCCATACCGCATGCCCACCGCTTGGTGAAATATAGGCTTGGAGCAAAGTGGTGACATTTTTGGCCGCACCTAATAGAATGAAATACCAATGGCAATCTTGCCATTAAAATAAAACCCCAAATGAGGTAAAATATGGAAAGGCACAGTGGTAAATCTTTACACCGCTGCCCTTTCTTCCTATCTACTCACACCGCTCCCTTGTTTGTTGCTCATCTTCGCACTGCTGCTGCTCTGGAACAATTTCATGCCAGTCAGAAATAATGTACTATAACGCTGCTGTGCAAGCAAGCAAACACACAACCAGGCTTACATTCATAAACAATATACAACAACAGTCATCACCTGGAAGCTATTATGGATAAATCTCAACAAAATAATAAACCGACCACACACACATCAGCAATTTCCTCGTAATGAAAAGGGTTTTAACTGATAAATAACATAAGTGATTATTAGCCTGCAAATGTGCTTCACTTTCAGCACGTCTATCTTAAACAAAGTGACTTAAAGTACATTTAAAGTCCACACAACACTGAAGAGAAGCTGAAGAGAAGCTCTTGTGATGTCAGGTGATGATGTGCAAAGGGAACTTTCTTGGTTTCAAATGCGAGCCTCATGCGCTGGTGAGAGAGACGCCACAGGTCTAATGGGTCCGGTGAGACCTGTGGATACACAAGCAACCCCCCTCTAAAGTGTCAGATGAGTGCGATCTCACTCTCATTAACCTGTGACCTTTGAGCGGCGAGGTTAGACCTCGAGTGGGATGAACTCCACAGATGAGTGTGCCTCAGTGCAGCAGCAGCACACCCAGGCCCATAAATGAAACACGTGCTCTCCTGAGGACTCAGACATGACTGGATGCAATTAAATGTGAGGACAAGGAGTGAAAAGAATTGGGAGTGTGTTCAAATGACTCCGGTGATTGAGAGTGACCAGATTCCAGGACCCATGCAAGAAGACTGAGGTAGCAACCTACTGTGACGTCAGTGAATCAAGCATTTTGAAGCCCAGTTTGGCATCGTGGCTGGTGCCATGTTGGTTTTTTGGAAACTACAATCCATTGTGAACACATTCCACATTATAATAAGTTATCTTCTGCTGCATATATGTATTATAGTGAATACTGTATTTTTACATATTCTTATTAAGCTTACTTTTATATTGTATTCAAATGTAATTATTTTTAACTTATTTATAACCTATTTCATGTAATTGTTTTGCTATGTATATTTTTCATTCTTGGCTGGAGTGACTAACAAAATCCTCCCTGGATCATTAAAGTATCTCTGTTTCTAGTTCTGATTGGAAATACCAAGCTGTCAATCACACCCCATTACATTGTATTCATCTATTTTACTCTAAATAAATGTAACTTACTAAGTGAACATCATGTTGTATTTAAGACGACTTGAAACTAAGAAAATGAAATTAGCGTCATGTTCTCATAGACTTCTTTAGAAATGCTTGCCCTCTGCTGGTCATTTGAGAGAATACAGGTTTCAGGTACTTCCGCATTGGCGTCACTTTCCAGACCCTTGAGTCTACGTCCATTTTTACATCCGGTCTATGAGTCTAACAAAGTCTTTAGCAATCCTGTCAAGGTCAACGGTGAGATTCAGTCCCTTGTTTGGTAACATTTGGATGAAGTGAAGTCACGTTGAGTTTCTCCCAAAGAATGAGTCTATAAGGTCACTCCAAAGAGAGAGAGAGAGAGAGAGAGAGAGACCGACAGAGAGAGACAGAGAGAGAGAGAGGTGCAGTGGTGCTCGAAAGATTTTCAATCATCTCTCGTTTAAATAATTCAGAAGCCACCATATTTGTTGGCCCTTTATGCTTCCCTGATTCAAAACAGGGGGAATGAAAGTGTCAATTGAAAACGCTGGTAAAGGTCATGCAAAGAGGCTAATATTCAGAATCACAGCTGACTCTCCTCAGAAGGCCGGATTATATAGAGCGTGAGGAAGAGTTAAAGAACGCAGGGGGAGGACTAGTGAAATTAAGACGCCTAGATAGATTTATAGTTGGCAACAGGGACCAACAAGAGGTTTAGGAGTCCAGGTGGGGAGGGATGGGGAACGATGGGGAACGATGCAGTGTCTTCACTTCATTATGTTTAATGCCCAGTGAAGACGGCTCGTCCAAGTGTGTCGCTCTTTCTTTAGTGACTGTGAATCCACCCAGCCCCCACTCAATCTGCTGGAGCGTGGTCTAATCTCTGCCCTGCATTACCGTCACTACTACTACTACTACTACTACTGCTACTGCTACAGCTGCTACAACAATACCAACGCACCGTCATCAGGCCTCTGTGTCTGTGCCACAGGAAATACCTCCGGGGTAAGCTCTGATCTCGTTGCTTTATCTGACCTTGGCGTGTGCGACTGAGCTTGACCCCACGTCCCCCCGCTGCTGAGCTCCTTATCTGCTTTAGATTGTGAGACGGTCATGTTTTGATATCCCATCTGCAGGGAGGGATCAAGGAATCCCCAAACACTGAGGAGGTTTGTAAACAGTCACGGAGAAGGATTACTATTCAGGCAGACATTGTTATCAGAGCACCACTTATGCTGATTTCTGGGGGCTGAACAATTTTTGATACCGATATATATCAGCAGTTTTTTGTGTTTAAAATAACTTGGCAATGAAAAAAGGAAAAGTTATTGAGGCTTGATATTAGACAGTGAAATGATTTAACTTAATTATAAATAACTAAATAAAAAGAACACACAAACACAATCAATTGTTTAGAAGCAGAATTAGGGAAAATAACCAAATAGTTTTCCCGTAAACTGTACACATCAATCTTTTCTGCATTGTTTATACCGTAGAATAAAATAAAACATAAATATGTCTGTGAAAGAGAGATCCATCAGTCTGGCTCAAATGATTATTAAATTGTATCAGAGTGGTGGAGGCTGCAGGGTTATGATCAAGATTTGATATGGAGGGATGAATTGACTGTTGATTATATTTTGTCGGGGGAATAAAATATGAAAATAACAGTTGATGCGATCATGCTTTGGTGCAGTTGTGGTCTAAATGATGTGATGCAAGTTAATACATCGACTGACGCAATGACGTTTCTGATCAAAGAGCAGTGCACACACTTCAAAAATTATTGGCTATACAAATCCATCCATCCATCATCTATAACACTTATCCTTTGAGGGTCGTGGGGGAAATTCTGCAGCGCATAGTAGGGCTGACAGCGATTAACGAATAAAAGGCCTCAGTGAAGCTCGGATTCAAACTGCGATAACTCATCTCCACTGTTCTGCCCCTCCATAATAACCTAGCCACTGTTTACATTGGACCATTGGTGGCGTCTCCATCTATGGCACCTGACCCAGTGTGGTTCTACACCAATTATCTGGGATCACAGAAACAAACATCCAGCAGTGACGCTCCGGGCTATAACTCTACTTCCACTATCCTCTGGATCCCCGTCTGTGACTCTGCAGGGCACCGGGCAGCTGAGGGTGACAAACAACAGCTTGGCAGGAGCACGACTATTTCAGTGTTAACAAGCCTCAGCAGTCCAGATTTTTAAATAAGCATTTCCGATTTATTTGCTGTAAAACACTATAAGGGTGTTCTGTCGTGTTGCCTTTCCATCTCGTCTGGTTCCTATGCATTCATGCAATGCAGATGACGCTTTCCCTGCTATTTGCCACTTCGAAGGTTTCTTTCATATTTGAGGCTGATAGCGGCGTATCTCGCAGCCTCGATGATGAAAAATTCTTTGCAGTATTGGAATACAAAGCCCACTGCTCTTAACTCTGAATTGAGTTCAGAAAGTTAAGAGCACTTCTGACAGGAGGGGAGGGGAGGGGGGGAACTGGGTGAGAGTAATTGTGCTTGATAAAAAGATTTGTTATTAAATCAATGAAAAACGAGCAAGAGCGTGCCGAGAGAACATGTGACCTTTTCATACACGTTGGGTAATATTTTGAGAGCGATTCCATGGAAAAAGGTAGAATGTTGTCCGGTGTCTAAATTTTATTCATGAAAAGAAGAGACAAAAGGAGCTCGATGGTGAGGTGAGGAGAGGAAAGTAGAAGAAGGAAGAACAGAGGAGAGGAAAGGAAAGGAGAGGAGAGGAGAGAAAAAGAAAGGAGAGGAGAGGATAGGATAGGACAGGACAGGACAGTACAGGCAAGGAGAGGAGAGGAGAGGATGACATTAACTTTCTGGTGGAGGAAAGTGGATGACATGAGACGCCACTGGGCCCTGTAACAATATCAGGGTGAAAATAATTGCAATAATACTGTGAAGCAACTGTGAATTCTCCCTCCCGACAGGAAGGAGAGGTGAGGGAGGTTAACCATAGAGG